TGGGCCACCCAGCAGCCCTCGAAAAAGGTGACAATTTGGCAGATCGCAGCCCCCCAAGGATGGCGAGGTCTAGTCTGAATCCGAATATGTCCCCACTCCGCTGGGCCCTCCAGCAGCCTTCGAAAGTGGCGACAGTTTCGCAGATCGCAGCCCTTCGGGGATGGCGAAGTCGAGCCTGAGTCTGCGTAGGACCCACTCCGCTGGCCCCCCCAGCAGGCATCGAAAGTGGCGGCGGTTTCGCAAATCGCAGTCCCCCAGGAATGGCGAGTTCGAATCTGAGTACCCCACTCCGCTGCCCCCCCCCAGCAGCCCTGGAAATTGGCGACAATTTCGCAAATCGCAGCCCCCCCCCCCAGCGATGGCGTGGTCTAGTCTGAGTCCCCTTGGGGGCTAACTCCGCTGGTCACCCCAGCAGCCCTCGGAAGTGGTGACAATTTCGCAGATCGCAGCCCCCCAGAGGTGGCGAGGCCTAATCTGAGTCCCCGTGGGGCCTCACTCCGCTGGGCCCCCCAGCAGCCCTCGAAAATGGCGACGGTTTCACATCGCAGATCGCAGCCCCCCAGGGATGGCGAGATCTAATCTGAGTCCCCGTGGTGCCTCACTCCGCTGGGCCCCCCAGCAGCCCTCGAACGTGGCGACAGTTTCACAGATCGCAGCCCCCCCAGGGATGGCGAGGTCTAATCGGAGTCCCCGTCCCGGTGGTGCCTCACTGTGCTGGGCCCCCCAGCAGTCCTCGAAAGTGGTGGCAGGTTCACAGATCGCAGCCCCCACAGGTGGCGAGGTCTAGTCTGAATCCCCGTGGTGCCTCACCCCGCTGGACCCACCAGCAGCCCTCGAAAGTGGCGACAGTTTCACAGATCGCAGCCCCCCAGAGATGGCGAGGTCTAATCTGAGTCCCCGTGGTGCCTCACTCCGCTGGACCCACCAGCAGCCCTCGAAAGTGGCGACAGTTTCACAGATCGCAGCCACCCCCAGAGATGGCGAGGTCTAATCTGAGTCACCGTGGTGCCTCACTCCGCTGGACCCACCAGCAGCCCTCGAAAGTGGCGACAGGTTCACAGATCGCAGCCACCCTCAGAGATGGCGAGGTCACTCCGCTGGACCCACCAGCAGCCCTCGAAAGTGGCGACCGTTTCACAGATCGCAGCCACCCCCAGAGATGGCGAGGTCTAGTCTGAGTCCCCGTGGTGCCTCACTCCGCTGGACCCACCAGCAGCCCTCGAAAGTGGCGACAGTTTCGCAGATCGCAGCCACCCCCAGAGATGGCGAGGTCTAATCTGAGTCCCCGTGGTGCCTCTTCCGCTGGACCCACCAGCAGCCTTCGAAAGTGGCGACAGTTTCACAGATCGCAGCCACCCCCAGAGATGGCAAGGTCGAATCTGAGTCCCCGTGGTGCCTCACTCCGCTGGACCCGCCAGCAGCCCTCGAAAGTGGCGACAGTTTTTCACAGATCGCAGCCCCCAGAGAAAAGAGGAGGAGGAGGAGAAAGGAGGAGAGGAGGGGGACGGGAAGGAGGAGAAGGGAAGACGCGCGAGCAGTGCTCTATTCAAAACGAGTACCCAACCAAGGAGGGTTGGGAATTACCCTGGCGACGTACCCAACCCCTGCGCAAACGCGGGGCGCAAATAGTTTAGACCACTTTATAAGGGGGGCGATGGCGGAGCGAGGGTTACATATGTCTGCAGACGGAGCCCGGGAGACTCGCAGGACACTGGCTACAGGACAAGGGCCAGATTAAGCTGATTAGTTACAATCCCTGAGTAACCCTAGCCATTTCGAAAGCAGGGATCTCATATCGCAGCCCCCCAGGGATGGCGAGGTCTAATTTGGAGCCGCGCGTGGCGTCACTGTGCTGGGCCCCCCAGCAGGCCTCGAAAGTGGCGACCGTTTCACAGATCGCAGCCCCCCATGGATGGCGAGGTCTAATTTGGGCCCGCGCGTGGCGTCACTGTGTTGAGCCCAAAGTGGCGACAGTTTCACAGATCGCAGCCCCCCAGGGATGGCGAGGTCTAATTTGAGTCCGCGCGTGGCCCTCACTGTGCTGGGCCCCCCAGCAGGCATCGAAAGTGGCGACAGTTTCACAGATCGCAGCCCCCCAGGGATGGCGAGGTTTAAGTTGGGTCGGCGCGTGGCGTCACTGCGCTGGGCCCCCCAGCAGGCGTCGAAAGTAGCTGCAGTTTCACAGATCGCAGCCCCCCAGGGATGACGAGGACTGAATTGGGTCCGCGCGAGGCGTCACTGCGGAGGGCCCCCCATCAGGCCTCGAAAATAGCGGCAGTTTCACAGATCGCAGCCCCAAAGGGATGGCGATGTTTAAGTTGGGTCAGCGCGTGGCGTCACTGTGCTGGGCCCCCCCAGCAGGCATCGAAAGTGGCGACAGTTTCACGGATCACAGCCCCCAGGGATGGCGAGGTCTAATTTGAATCCGCGCGTGGCGTCACTGTGTTGGGGCCCCCAGCAGGCATCGAAAGTGGCGACAGTCTCACAGATCGCAGTCCCCCAAAGGATGGCGAGGTCTAATTTGGGTCTGCGCGTCGCCTCATTGTGCTGGGCCCCCCAGCAGGCCTCGAAAATGGCGACAGTTTCACAGATCGCAGCCCCCTCAGAGATGGCGAGGTCTAATTTTGGTCCGCCCGTCGCCCTCACTGTGCTGGGCCCCCCCCCAGCAGGCCTCGAAAGTGGCGACAATTTCACAGATCGCATCCCCCCAGGGATGGGGATGGCGAGGTTTCATTTGAATCTGCCCGTGGCGTCACTGCGCTGGGCCCCCCAGCAGGCTTCGAAAGTGGCGACAGTTTCACAGATCGCAGCCCCAAAAGGATGGCGATGTCTCGTTTGAATATGCCCGTGGCGTAACTGTGCAGGGCCCCCCAGCAGGCCTCGAAAGTGGCGACAGTTTCGCAGATCGCAGCCCCCCCCCAGAGTTGGCGAGGTCTAATTTGAATCCGCGCGTGGCCCTCACTGTGCTGGGCCCCCCAGCAGGCCTCGAAAATTGCGACAGTTTCGCTGATCGCAGCCCCCCAGGGATGGCGAGGTCTCATTTGAATTTGCCCGTGGCCCTCACTGTGCTGGGCCCCCCAGCAGGCCTCGACAGTGGCGGCAGTTTCACAGATCGCACACACACACACACCCAGGGATGGCGAGGTCTAATTTGAATCTGCCCGTGGCCCTCACTGTGCTGGGCCCCCCAGCAGGCCTCGACAATGGCGACAGTTTCACAGATCGCATCCCCCCAGGGATGGCGAGGTCTCATTTGAATATGCCCGTGGCGTCACTGTGCTGGGCCCCCCAGCAGGCCTCGAAACTTGCGACAGTTTTACAGATCGCAGCCCCCCCCCAGGGATGGCGAGGTCTCATTTGAATTTGCCCGTGGCCCTCACTGTGCTTGCCCCCCCAGCAGGTTTCGAAAATGGCGGCAGTTTCACAGATCGCAGCCCCCCCAGGGATGGCGAGGTCTAATTTGAATCTGCGCGGGGCCCTCACTTTGCTGGGCCCCCCCAGCATGCCTCGAAAATGGCGTCAGTTTCACAGATCGCAGCCCCCCCCCAGGGATGGCGAGGTCTAATTTGAGTCCGCGCGTGGCCCTCACTGTGCTGGGCCCCCAGCAGGCCTCGAACATGGCGACAGATTCACAGATCGCAGCTCCCCCCAGGGATGGCGAGGTTGAATTTGAATCTGCGCGTCGCCCTGACTGTGCTGAGCCCCCCAGCAGGCCTCGAAAATGGCGACAGTTTCACAGATCGCAGCCCCCCCAGGGATGGCGAGGTCTCATTTGAATTTGCCCGTGGCCCTCACTGTGCTGGGCCCCCCAGCAGGCCTCGACAATGGCGGCAGTCTCACAGATCGCAGCCCCCCCAGGGATGGCGAGGTCTAATTTGAATTTGCGCGTCGCCCTCACTTTGTTGGGCCCCCCAGCAGGCCTCGAAAATGGCGACAGTTTCACAGATCGCAGCCCCCCAGGGACGGCGAGGTCTAATTTGAATCCGCGCGTCGCCCTCACTGTGTTGGGCCTCCCAGCAGGCCTCGAAAGTGGCGACAGTTTCACAGATCGCAGACCCCCCAGGGATGGCGAGGTCTAATTTGAATCTGCGCGGGGCCCTCGCTGTGCTGGGCCCCCCCAGCAGGCTTCGAAAGTGGCGACAGTTTCACAGATCGCAGCTCCCCGCAGGGATGGCGAGGTCTAATTTGAAATTGCGCGGCGCCCTCACTGTGCTGAGCCTCCCAGCAGTCCTCGAAAATGGCGACAGTTTCACAGATCGCAGCCCCCCCCAGGGATGGCGAGGTCTAATTTGAATCTGCGCGTGGCCCTCACTTTGCTGGGCCCCCCAGCAGGCCTCGAAAATGGCGACAGTTTCACAGATCGCAGCCCCCCCAGGGATGGCGAGGTCTAATTTGAATCTGCGCGGGGCCCTCACTTTGCTGGGCCCTCCAGCAAGCCTCGAAAATGGCGACAGTTTCACAGATCGCAGCCCCCCGCAGGCAAGACAGGAAGAGGCAGGGAGTGAGGGAGGAGGAGGAAGGAAGGAGTGGAGACCACACTGCTCTATTCAAAACGAATACCCAACCAAGGAGGGTTGGGAACAACGTGCGACTGCACAATCCCCCGCCTTGAGGAAACAGCGCGGAGGGTGCAGGACTAGGGGCAGATTTTGAATAAGGAGTACGGATCAGGGAGGAGGAAGAGGAGTGAGGAAGTTGGACCAAGGAACACGGGATTAGGGGAGAGGGGATCGATGAGGAAGACGGCAGGGGGAGGTGGAGGAGAAGGAGGTTGTGGGGATATTAGAAGGACGATGGGATTGATGATCAGGAGGGAAGATTGAAGACGGGAGAGAGGAGCGACGGAAAAGGGAGGAGAGAGGAGCAGGAGTCAGCGAAGGAGGACGCGGACGAGGACACATAGGCGGAGCAGCAGGACGCATGGTGGGAGGGGAAAAGGGAGCAGATGGTGCAGCGTTGTCGGTGTGTTGTTGGTCGTGTCCCCGCTGCTGCGGTTGGAGGACGCGCTGAAGCGGGTCTGCGAGCGCCGCAGGGACGCCCGCGAGGCGTTGGCGGCTGCCCAGGCCCGCGGCGGTGAGCGTGCGGACGAGGGCGAGGGAGTTGAGCTAGACGCAGGCGGTCGCGCATGCGTCGGCGTAGGCGCACACCAGGAGGAGTGGATATACACACGACGGGCCTGGTCGGGCGAGAGGTGGAATCGCATGTTCTGGCCGCATGTTGTTCGTGGCGCTTGGCGCTGGTGCGGTCATGTACGCAAGCTCTTCAAAGGTGTACCCAGTCCGTGAATTCTAGACGTGTTCGTACTTGCGTTCCAGACTATTGGTCGGAGGATTGGGGTGAGATGGCAGTGGAACGGAGAGCCCCCCACCCGGAAGCCGGTTCCAGTTTCGTGCTCGTGCCACGCGTGCGGGTGAGGCGCCGCCGGGCCCACTCCTCGATACATGGGCGCCTCCCGGCGCCAGGAGGCGCTGGGAAAATCAGCTGCGTGAGCTGATTCTCTACCCTACCCTCTGCGTTCCCCCCGAAGCTGGTTGTCCGCCCCCCCCCCATGCGCGCTGGCCTGGGGGTGTCTCGCCGGTTTCCCGTCGGTGTCGCCGTCGTGGCCAGGGACTGCGGGGAGGGCCGCACCTCCCCCCCGGCGCGCGCTGGCTCGTCGGTTGCCCGTGGGTGGCGCGTCGGTGTCCCGTGGGTGGCGCGTCGGTATCAGGTCGGTGTCCCGTCGGTGTTCCGCGTCCCAGAGCAAGGCGGCGTGAATCGGTGTCCTGAAGCAGGGAGGGCAGATCGCTAGCGAGATCGCTTGGAGATTGTTAGTGGTATCCGTTGTGAGACCTGTTGTGAGGTCGAATGTGAGGCCGCCTGTGAGATCTACAGTGGGGTCGACAGTAAGATCGATCGCGAGATCGATTTTGAGGCTGATAGTGACAATTGTTGTAAGATCTGTCGTGAATTCGGATGTGAGATCGATAGTGAGTTCGATTGTCAGATCGACTGTGAGATCGATTGGTAGATCTATAGTGCGACGTGTTGTGAGATCGATCGTCGCCAACCTGAGGTCGCATCACATGCATCTTCCTCATCACAACCACCAAGATTGCCATCAGTCGGTTCTTCTGCCCTCTTGACCTCGTCATCGCCTGAAGGGTGGTTGTATAGGTAGGTTTCTGCGCAAGCGCGGGTCTGACAACGGAGGTCAGGCTCAGAGGGGAAGAAGGTCGACACAAACACGCCCAGTCATCGCAGTGCCAGTAGCAGCCGTGCAAGTACAGTGCCGTTTTTGATACATGCTCCGCGTGCGGATCATGTATTAAGCATGCAGGGATTTAGCATTAAAAGCAACGATGAGTTCATGCATAAGTTTACTCAAACACGAATTATGTATTAAAATCCGATATTAAAAAAAAAAGCCCATGTATTAAAAACTGCCCTGTTGCCATTGGATGCGGGTGCAACCAAACCATTCCCGAAGCCAGTGGCGAATTTGGAAGGAGGTCGCTGGTGGAGAGGGTCGGTATAGACCAGGTGCTCCCCGTGGACGACGGCGCGTGGATGACTCAGGAGGAAGAAACCTCCCAGCGGGCACTCGTAGACAACTTCTCGTAAGATACATGGGCCAGACCGATGATGGCATGAACCATCAGTTGGAGGATCCTGCGTCCTCCCGTCACCCCACCCCTGGTTGACAAGGTCCCTGACAGCCACGGTGCAGAAGCCATTCCGCCGCAATGTCCTTGTATAAAACAACCTTCCGATAGGGACTTCGGCTTGTAGGCGGGGCAATTCAGCGTCCTCGGCTTTGGAGAGGGCTGCAAGGCGGAAGGGAGGAGGGGGCGATGAAAAGAAGGCGTTTGTTGGGATAGGTCATAGCCCGAGAACCTTGAATTCTTGAAGTTCTCGATTGCGCAGCACCAGAGTCGACATCGTCCGATTGCCCCCCAAACCGCGGTGCATTGAATTCGCTTGCCAAGTGTATGTCGGACTGTGTGGTGACAGCGGTTGGCATGGCGGTCTTCGGCCCCATTCTGGACGATTGTGTATGCGCAACAGTAGCCTGGTCTCCGTCGCCCACAGATGATATTGGGCGACCAGCACTTATCGGCCGGACTGTATTATCTCGTCTCCTCTTGCTTGATATAGTGTCGCCGATGTTGTTCATCTTCTTTCCAGGCAGACATCGACGCGCGGTTCAGGGCACAGGTGGAGGAAGGCCACAGCCAGCGTTCCGTGGCCGACGGCTTGAGCCAGCAGTTGCAGAGAGTGGGTGAAGAGTTGGACCGAGTGAGCAAGGCGAACCAGACGCTGGAGATGGCGCTGAAG